AAAAGAAAAGAAAAGAAAAGAAAAGAAAAGAAAAGAAAAGAAAAGAAAAGAAAAGAAAAGAAAAGAAAAGAAAAGAAAAGAAAAGAAAAGAAAAGAAAAGAAAAGAAAAGAAAAGAAAAGAAAAGAAAAGAAAAGAAAAGAAAAGAAAAGAAAAGAAAAGAAAAGAAAAGAAAAGAAAAGAAAAGAAAAGAAAAGAAAAGAAAAGAAAAGAAAAGAAAAGAAAAGAAAAGAAAAGAAAAGAAAAGAAAAGAAAAGAAAAGATGAGCCCTCAGGCAGAGGTTGGAATAGAAAAATAAAATAAATAAATAAATAACAACAAAAAAACCACCACGATCCCGTGGTAGACGCTCCCGTGGGGTGAGCCCCGTGGCGGCAGCTCAGCCACACTCTGCTCACGCCCGGCCCCACTGCCGTCACCTTTTCCTGCACAGCTGCACTCAGCTTTGAGGGAGAAAAATATAAAGAAAAAATAATAATTAAAAAAAAAATAGCCCTGCATAGCACCGCGAGGGGCCAAACCCTATTGTTTCCAAGAAGCGGGAGGGGGGACATCAACCCGTTATTGTGAGAACAGAAAGAGGAACGCTTTCAAACCCCCAGCTAAGCACTGCGGGGTGAAGTATCTACAATGTACTATATACACAGAGAGAGCTCTTTTTTTCCTTCTCTGCCGATCCGACTTTAGGAAATTTTGCACACAAGGAATAGTGCTGTGAACTCATCAAGGAGAAAAGGTACACAGGTGAAAGACAAGCGGACAGAAAGGTTAAAAAGTAGGGAAAACACTGCGTGTGTGCATTTTGGATGACTCCGCAATACTGCTTCAGAAGTCAGGAGAAATAATAATGATTAAAAAAAAAAAAAATCAGAAAAAAATGTAAGAACTGAATTTAATGCCAAAATCCAAAAGGAACGGCGGGGCAGAGAAGGGCAGCAGCTCGGGATGCTGCATGAAGAATCTGGGGTGTGCCATACGGTGCAGCCCCGCTCCCCGCCCGCAGGGACACGGCTCGGTAGCGCGGGGAGCCCCTTCAGCCCGCCCTTCTCCCGGCGGTACCGTAACGCTGCCATATGCGCTCGGCACCGGCAGATGCGGCGACTCCCCGCCCGTAAATCTCCGTCCTCCCTTTGCCCTGTAGATGGCCATCTCCCGCGAAAGACGCGTTCCCGTCCCACCTGCCCTGGGACGATCCTCGGGGATGTCTTGGCACCAGGTGGCACATTAGAGTACACCGCCAGCCACGGGACCGCCACCAACCCAGAAAGCCCCGCAGCCGCCCCAAAGGACGTCCCGAACTCTTTCCGAGGTGTTGAACCGTGAGGTGGTTATTAGCGGATGGCGGAGAGGGAGTGAGAGGGAAGATGCAAGGCGTAAGCGTGGGGCGAGGGGATGCCGGCGCGGGATCAGCACGAACGAAGCAGGCGGCGGCGGCTGACCTGGTCGAAGTAGATGGTCATAGTGCGGTTGCTCATCTCGGAGGGCTCGTGGTTGGTGCTGCGGGTGGCCGAGAAGGCCACTTTGGCGCTGCCCGAGCGCACGGAGATCCCCAGGGAGGAGGTGATGGCGCCGTCGGCCGAAGGGCTGGAGTCGCACACGACCAGGCACTTCCCCTCCAGGACGATGGGCTCCGTGTCGTTCTGCGCCCGCACCGGGCACCCGGCGGGGAGCAGCAGCAGCAGTAGCGGCAGCGCCGCCGCCAGGCAGCAGCAGCAGCCGCCCGCCGCCTCGGGCAGCGCCCCCCGCCGCCGCCGCCCCATGCCCCGCGCCGGACCGCCGCCTCTCGGGCTCTCCGCCGCCGGGCGGGCGCGGGGAGGCGGAGGGGGCTGCGCGCCTGCTGCCGCCGCGGCGCCCCGCGGCCAGCGCTCGGCGGGACGGCGGCTGGGCGGCGGCGGGGCCGCGCCTTCCTCCCTTCTCCTCCTCCTCCTGCTCCTCCGCGCGGGGTGAAGGAGCTTCCTCAGAGGGCGGGCGGCGCGCAGCCTGGTGGGGTAAGGGCGGCGGTGAGGCGACGGCGGGGAGCCGGGCACCGCGCAGCCCCGCACCGTGCAGCCCGGCAGTACCCCCGCCCCGCCCTACAGCCGGCAGAGGCACAACAGGTCTGGGGGAGACCGCGCCGCCGCCTCTTCTCCTCCCTTTCCCCGTCCCCCAGCAGGTCCGCAGCCGGGGGACCCTCCCAACCCCGCGCTGTGTCCCCTCGGGCTCCCAGTGCTCCCTCTGTGCCTTCCATCCCGCACTCGTAGTGCTGCCCGGCCGCGATCTGCGAGCCGCCGCCCTCCTCCTGCCCTCGGGTGCTCCACGTACTTCCCGACACTTCGTCCCCATCCCGGGCTGTCCGCGTTACCACGGACCCCAGTGGCTTCCACAACTCTGGCGGGGGGCTCGGGCACCCAGCTCCCAACCCCTGCATGCGGAACGCACCGCAAGAGGCGAAACCTCTTCAGCCGGCGCCTACCCTGGAAGTTGCAGCTCAGTTTTCTCCGCTCAGCGGAGAAATCACTAAGGTCTCAGATCCTCCCCCCGCCCTCCCCAGGCATCTCTGCCGCTCGCCTCACACCGCGTCGCTAATGTTTAAAGTGGTGTTTCGCAAAGGGAGCGGCAGGCGGGGAAGGGAGCGGCCTCTTACCTGGGAGGTCCATGGCTGGAGAGGATAGCTGGCTGAGGAGCTCGTCCGGGACCTGGTACTGCTTAGAGAAAATGAGCCGAGATTGCGCTGGCAGAAAGAAAAGGAAACAGGAGTCGCCTCTTTCTCTCCCGCCCATTGCCAATAATCCCCCCCCAATCTCCCCCCTCCGGCCGCCACCGCCACCCGACGTTCTCCCTCCTCCCCTCCTTCCCTCCTCTCTCTCTCACACACACGCAAGCACCCGGCAGGGATTTAGTCTCCGACACCCCCAGTCGCAGCACCGCGGGGCTCCTCCCGCCGCCGGCTGCAGCCAGAGGTCGGACAGACCCCTCGAGATACCTGCACCCGTCGGGCTGAACGAACGTGCCGGATGGGAGTAGATGCCTACGGACAGCCGCGCAGCATCGCGAGCTGGAAGCTGCTTGGAATTCAGGGTTTAATGCAGATAACAATAGTACAAAACACTTAAATGGACCCGCTGTCGGGAGCACCGTACCTCGAAGGCCCGAACTCTCCACCGCCCCTGCGCGGAACAGAGCCCAGCGCTCAGCTCACCATTAGGACAGCGGCGCTGCCCTGGGGCGGTCCCACTCCCAGCCCTGCGCCCGCACCGCCCGCCGAGCCGCGCCATAAGCGGGCGTGTGGCGCCACCTGGCGGCGGCGGCGGGCGCAGCGCGGGCCGGGAGCGGGTCGCGACCCGAGAGCGAGAGGTAAAACCCCCGAGGGCCGGGCGCCAGCTAAGGGCTGGGGCGGCCACCCCCGCCAGCTGTCCCTCCGGTCTTACAGAGCGATGGCGCCTATTACCGCCAAGGTTTATCAGTTTGCACCGGCTGCGAGTGTTTCGTGTGCTTCAGCGTGAGGCTGCTGCTGGGAGGGAGGGGACGGTGAAGCGCGCTGGCGGTGAAGTTTTGCGAGAAAAGCATTGCATTTCCATGCACTCTTCTCATTTACAAATGGGTTTTCTGGATGCATATGGCGTTTTCCTGGAGATCTCGATATGCAGACTTCAGCATCTGAAAGTATGCTAGAGAACCATACATAAATCCAAATGGTGGCTGTAATGTTCCCGAGCCGGAGAAAAATTTGCAGGTGTATCTCTATAGTAAAATTACGATCTCATCTATGAATGAGTGCTCCTGTTTCAATCTTCTGCTTTAACCACCAGTAAGGAACCCCTGCGGGTGTCTGCCTGATGATTTGCACTGAGAAATTAATCATGCCCTGAAATCACGGCTAAGCAGTGTGCAGGGAATACCTAACCTATAGCTCCTTATTTTAAATGAGAATTTTATAGTAAGCCTGAAATACTTGCATTTGATGGTCTTTTTTTTTTCTTTTTTCTTGCTTGTTCTCGGGTATGGAGGGATGAGAGTAGAAAGCTGATACGCATAGTACACTAATAAGTATCAGAAAATCAAAGCAGGAACCAGGCTGCAAGGCAGCACCCATTCTGCAAGACAGTGAGAAGGACCACAGAAATTCATCCAAAGATATCAATTCTCAATCTCACATAGCTCTGGTACACTGGGGAGTCTTTAGATCAGACTAGTCATTGATTATTATTTTGCTGTATAAATGAGGGATCAAAGCAGAGCCCAAAGATTTGCTCATTGTTTTATGTGACTTACAGAGCCCAGTGGTGAGGGAGGGATGGCGCGTCATCACTTCTCTCTGTTGCTCTTAAGAAAGATGAGCATGAAAACTAAAGGCAGCTGGAAAGCTCTTAAATGTACTGTGCATCCACAGGAAAACAGATGAAATCTTGCCTTTCTTCCAACACAAAGGATGAATCCCACACTTATGAATCCCCCTTCTCTTTTGGCAGATAACTTGCAAAAGAACTGTCAGCATGAATGCAAATGGAAGATAACAGAATATTTACTTGTAAACAAATCTATAATTATACGACATTTAGAATGTCAGTTTAAAAAAAGCTCTACTTATTATTTCTAATTAAATACTGTCCTTAAGGGATCAATCCACAACCTTCATGGAGCGACGTGGCTGCCAGAATTACAGAATTATTTTTGTATTTTCCTTTCTTCTGCGAATGGCCAGGCTGGAAATATATTTGGAATTACTAGTTGCAGTTCACTCAGTTATGGAATGACTTAGAATCATAGAATCACAAGGTTGGAAACTAGCTATAAGATCATCTAGTCCAACCATCTTCTCATTACCATTGCTACCACAAGCACTAAACCATATCTCGCAGCTCCTTATCCAGAAGCCTCTTGAACACTGCCAGGGATGGCGACTCCACCACCTCCTGGGCAGCCATTGCAGTGCCTGACCTCTCTCTGAGAGAAAAAGTTTTTCCTCATGTCTAAAAAGAAGGTTTAACTTTTAAAGAAAATAGATAAAGTGTTCATAGTCCTCTTCCTTGAGCTCAGAATTGTTTATGTTGGGAAAGAACTGTATTATCAAGCTTGTGCTTTTTTTTCCAGCTGCCAGCACAAATTTTTATACCAGGGACAAGTTATACCTGGTGGTGTGGGATTCTGCAAGAAATGGAAATGCTCACTTCACTGGGACATTCCTTAAGCTAGCACTCACCTTCAACTCATTTAAGCCAAAAGCTTCTAGGGGAAAAGCTTTTTGTCTCATCTACTAAATCGTCAACAGAAAGGTATTTTGATCAGTAGCTCCCAACTGTTTCCCATACATTATTTACATTAATGCCTAGCAAAATGGGACACTTCTTTCCCAAAGAAAATACACGCTTAACTGTTCCTGAAATTAGTTCACAGATATTTGCATGTTTTATCTATACATTATATATGCAAGCAGATAAATAGAATACAGAAAAAGAGAAGATGTTCTTTTAATGTGAAACACATTTTTGTCTTCCCATAGCATGAGAATAAGTTTATGACAGGGATGCAAAAACAATTTTTATGATGAACCAGGGTGCAGAAGACTGAGTTCTCATTTACTGAACAGACTGCCCTTTAGCTTAACAAATGTTGTTTCCATGGATTATGTATCCTTCAAATATTCTACTGTAAGACATTAAAAAATGGAATTTGATAAATGTGATTCTTTTTTCTTCGCAAGCATACTACTGGTAGAAAAAGTGTCAACAATAGTTTGTGATTAAATCAATTGATGTGACACCCCCATCATCCCACTCCCCAGGTAAGTCAGTTCCCTGTTACATTCAACCATTAATACAACTAAAGTAATATTTTGTACATTCAAATTAATTCGTTCTTTGTCTGTCTATCAGGGCACCAGGGCAGATTACTTTACAGCTACCAGCTATGGCAAAGATTATGTAACTTTCTGGTGATAACATCCGCAAGATTTTCAATTGCACACAACCCAGAAAAAAAATATATAATAAACTAGAGTTCATTCACAGAATGAAGCTTAGACTACTTTTCTCCTGGTCCTTAGGGCCTCAAACATCAACTAAGGCTATATTTTATCCTGCAGAGGATGACTTACCATGAGTATTTCTGAGGTGTCAGTTCTGATTTGCAGAGGTACTCCCCTCATAAGAAGATCAGGACTACAGAGGGAAACTTTTGCATCACGTCTTCATATGGAATATGACTGTAATTTCAGATATATATGCATACCATCTTACACACTGAGAGAAATACGTGTAATTCCTCTGCATTTTTTTTTTTTCTTGTAAAAATATCAAAAAACTGCTAGACAGCAGTCTGGATTGGAACATATAACTTTCTTTTCCTCCATAATGTAACTCTGATTTCCAATGATTTGTTAAATAATTAATGGAAGCGTGACATACTAAAAAAGAATAACGCATTGGAATAAACTTTAATTGCAGATGTAATTAATTGTAGAGCTCTGACTTGATACTATTAAATATCAAATTGGTTCTCTCTATGTCTTTGTATTATAGCATTCACAATTACTTGGATAATACTACTACTTCTTCAGAGGTGCAAACTTATTGAATCATTATCAAAGCTTTTCTTCAATATTTTTTTGTGCTGCAACTCTTTTATTAAAGTATTGTTAAATGCAGTCTTGTACACCCTATAGAGATGAAATAGACATGGAATGCCACATAACTCTGGTGGTGGTACCAGAGTTCTTACACATGGTTGTGCTATGATATTAAAATGCACTCTTCTAAGACAAGTTTGTAATGCTGCTACCTTACATACTGTACCAGATAATGTTCAACAAATAGCCCCTGCAGTGAGATGGCTAGCACTTAGCAATATGTAACTGTACTCTGTTTTATCTCTCATTTCATGGAATTTCAGCTCCAGGAGGAGAAGAGATGAATAGTTTTTAAGATGAAAGTTACTCTGTAATACTTTTTTTTTTTTTTTTCCCTAATGCAGTGTTCTGACTCTATCACCAGCCTCCTTGACAAACAAATTTTCAGGCCAGTCAGGTTTGTTTGAGAGAGCTTATAAATGCAGATGTCATATCATTAGAAAAATTGCAGCAGAAAGCTTGGTTTTTTTTCTAAGCATAAACAAATCAGAAACATTCAGACAATGTGAATGCAGTCTCCTATATACATGGTGCATTCAATGCTTAACTCCATTTACAAGGTTTGTGTCCTCTGAACAGTGCTTAGCAATGAAACTTGAACAGGTTTCTGCTATTGTCTGAGTTCTTTCTTTCCAAAATAACATTTTCTTACCTTGATAAGACAGCAACACAGCCCATCTTCCAAGGAAGGAACTGAAGACAATTCAGCACACCTTCCAAGGATGGAGCTTATTGATAAAAAAAAGAAAGACCACTTGCCTTGCTTATCACATTTGGCCAATATAAATACTGACTTATTTTATATGTAACACTCAGCACTGCCAGTGTGCCTATATTAGGTAATTATTGATACTATATTCTAGTTCCACATGAGAATAATGAAAAATTTCTAGGTTTTTGTTGGGGTGTTATTTATTTTGTGTGTGTGTGTGTGTTTGTATTTACCTGCTTGCCACAGGTGAGACTATACAGTGTCACATCGATGCAAATTTTAAAGCTGAGATATGAATGGTTCATTTTTGGAAGAGAGAATCTTAAAACTGGACTTTGAAATACAGCAAAGAGATGCCACAGCCTTCAATTGGCTTCTCTAGTTCACTAAGCACAATTCCAAAGTGGGTCTTCCTGTACTTTTTGCAAAAGGCTGTAGCAAATTGCCTGTTTTTACTACTGCATGATAAATTGTATTAGCAGAGAAGACTAAGACATTTCTGAGAACAATCCACTGAAGGAAGAATATATGGCATAGACAGAGGACTGCATTATTAATTTTTTCATTTAGTTCTGAGCTTAGCCTCTCAGAATACAAAATCAGATTTGAAAAGCAATGCTGTAGAAGAAAAGGAAGGAAATCTATAACTCTTGTTTTTACATTTGTTTACTTCATTTTCTGTTGCTTCAGTTTTTGATTCTGCTTGAAAGAGGTACAGCTTTTTTGAGAGAACAGCTGCCCTGTAAGCAGGCCTCTGTGTGTTGTCTGAAGTTGCACTTACAAAAAAAAAGTACAGAAAATACTTCTTGCTTTGGAAACCATATCCATCATATAG